AAGCGAGATGATTAAGACCATCATGATGACGATCTTGTCGCCACGCTGATGACTACGATGATGGTCATGACGGTCTTGATGACGAATCGGAAGATCAGCATCATGACGCATCCTGAGCATCACCAGGAGTCATCATGATAAGCATGTCCACGCATCTTTTGCTTGGCATGTCCACACATTTTTGCATCTCAAATCGGAGCTACAATTGAAGTCGAAAAAACAAGATGATGATGACCATCATGATGACGATCTTGTCGCCGCCCTTCCCGTTCGCCTCCCCTCAGGAGCAGGGGTCGGCGGATCTACGGAGTACGATGGTGAATCTAGAGATGATAGCACCGAGACGGGAGGAGACGGTGTTGAGGAATTAGGTGAATTGGGGGCGAGATGATCAGGTAAATATCCCGTGCTGCCACGCCCAAGATGGGAAGTTCCAAAGAAGTTTTTCCGAGGATGTTGTGTGTTCCGGCCGAGGGAGAAGGCGACGAAGATGTCTCGACTTCTCAGCGCGATGGTGTCAAGGCCTGTTCGAAGGGCCGAGATGCTGACTAGTTCTAAGGCGATGAAGGCTATGAAGAATGGTTCGACCTATCCGAAAGCCGTGAGTGTTAAGATACGCAAAACGGAAGGGAGAGGAAGTGCAAATGGCCAGGGCGCACGCTACCATTGTGGAGAAAAGCTCCCAGTTAGCTGAGAACGATCCAAAGAGTCGCCTAGTAGTGTTAGGTGAACCAGACGAAGAACCAAACGTTGGGCGCGGCATTGGGTAACTCACCGGCAACTTTCGAAGCTTTCAGATGAGGTTGCCTTCAAGGATGGGATGCGCAAACGGCGGATGCCGTTCAGCTGCCTGGCACGATCTGTTGGATCGAGCTTCCTCCTGAGTGTTTCTGGCATTGCGTGGCCACCCTGACGCCGGAACACCCTGGAAGGAGCGCTGTTATGAGTCAGCGCGTGCTGTTGGCTTCTCGGTGAGAAGTGGCCGTGGTCCCGAGAAGCTACAACTTGTTTGGGTGGCCTATGTGGACAGCTTCAAGATGGCAGGTCCGGAAGGGAACCTATCAAAACGTGGTCTGGACTTATATCTGGGGTGCAATGGTCACAAAGTTACTACGGTGACTTATGACATGGACAAGTTCCTGCGCTCCTGCGTTGACCGTTGCCTCGAAGTGGCGGGAGACGTCGAATTGAAGAAAGTTGCTATGCCTGGTATCCAGAAACTCCAGCGTGCCAAGCAGGAGGGACTTCGGAAAGAGGTCTTCTGGAGCGGCAATTTGCACTTCACACAGCTAGTGTGCTCATGAACATATTGTACGGCGCAAGAGTTGCACGTTTCGATTTGCTTCGGCAAGCCAGCTGTCTGGCAAGAAACATTCCCAGATGGACCAGTGACGACGACAAAAAAGCTCCACCGCTTGATGTGCTACACTCACCACACCAAGCGCTGGAGAATGATCGGCTGGGTCGGTGATTCTGTTCATGATCTATATACACATGTGTATATATATATATATGGCGTTGCACGCTGGCGCTGACTTTTCAGGTTGCGCTGCCTCCTTGCGGCCAACCCTGGCGGTCATCAAGGGCAGAGCGCAAGATTTCCTTTGCTTGGCAAGTTCCAAGCAACAGTCCTGAGGCTAAGATCGTCGCAGCCGATGTTGCAATGAAAACTATGGGCATTCCTGCGCTTATACGCCGACCAGGGAATTGGAGAAGATCAATATCCCCGGGGACAAGAGGAAGGCTGATGAGCCTTGGCACTGGGACGGAAGCCAACTCCGGCATCAGAAGAGTTGAATGTGTGCGCAACCTGCGGCAAAGAGTCTCACCAAGGACCATGCAAGAATGAGGAGAAGGCCAAGGAGAACGAGTCCGCTCGCAGCTGCCTGAAGCGCATTCCTCGTCACAGATGGATTCTCCGCCAGAGGAGCCAGCAAAATGCAGCAACTTCATTTCCATACTGTTCCAAAGCTGATTTGTACTCCGCCATCGCCCTGCGGTTTACTTGCAAGTCATCGCCGCCAACGTGGAGTTCACCGCCCTCCGCCATGTCACCGGCCCTCTGCAGCTCAACCGCAAGGTGGTGTCTGTGCATCCCCTCCTTGCGACGATCAGCCAGAGCTTCATTCTCTGAAGGCTGTGTGCCATCAGTGGTGCCTCAGCCTGGCGACGAAGGTGACCTCATACCAGGGCACATCAGCATGATGGGGACTCTGTTAAAGGCATGGAGAGGCTGAACGTGAACAGCAGGAGTGTGGCTTTGCCAGTCTGGCCCTTCAACAACTGTTCGTCCTATGCATTTGGTGAGTTCTCATCATATACCAACCCAGCTGCCCAAGGCCTTTGCCAAGGTCCTACGACACCACATCGGTTGGAGGCAAGCGAATGCCATTGCACGCAACAGCGGGGGATGGGTGAATATCAAGATTCTTCGCCGGAACGACATATTCCCAAGAACGGAAAAGAGATTCAATGCCATTGCTGAAGTGAGCAGGCGGCATGACGGGACTGGACGCAAGCCGAGGTTCTAGATACAACAATATCAAAAATCTGGAGTAAAGGCAACATTGACCGGGTCCGGCAAGATCACACCGGCTGGAGCCCTGGTGCATCAGGAGATTCGGACGTCAGGTTCGCACGGCCGGCTGAGTTATGAAACATGCTGAACCCAATCATGTCCGAGAAGTTGGGTGGCTCCTACCGCGTGACCAGAATGCAAGTTCATCTTCACCGGCAAGTTTGTAATCCACGTTGACGCTGGTGCCTCCGAGGGCGCAGGAGCGAATGATTTGTCCGAATCCGCGCGGCAGGCTCAGAAGCAGGCGAAGGAAGCCACTGAGCAGAAGCCGTAAGAGGATGAAGCGGGGGCATCTGCGACTGATGAAGGAGGTGGCGAACATCATGAGGGAGAGGAAACTGGATATTTCGCGGAAGACGATGACTTCGCGGATGCTGCTTACCATTAGCAGAGGAGGGCGTTCTGTCTGGATGAGTCAAACGAGGCAGCATATATCTCTGGATTCATTGGATCGGCGCTCAAAAAGATCAGGAGGGTATTTGCAGCTAATGAGGATGACCGCAACAAGCCGTCAGGCGCGCTGCCCACACATTCCTTACAAGACGTGCGATGGCTGGATATGCCCCAATGTCGACGACGCCAACATTCCAATTCCACCAACCTTGGCCAAGTCGCGACAGCTCCATGCGTTTTGAAAAATTATTTTCAGAACCATGATGCAAGACTTCATCGTCCTTCTCTTAAAGCTAAAAGGGCAACAACACTTATATCGGATATGGGCTGCCTGCAACATACTGGGGGTAAACCAAGTCTCCCTGGCTAAGCAGAGCACGACACCGATGATCGACATCGTCTTCAGATGTATCGCCCTTGCTTTCACAGGAGTGGCTTTGGGACGCAAGTTCATCAAAATGGATCTGGCTCCGGTCACATGTGTGATAAGCAGGGGAGGTTGACGCACCTCTCATTCAGTGGCGTTCGCGCAAGAATATCACACTTTGTGCCAGGTACGTCTACACTGTCGGAGAGGTTCAAGTGGAGAGCCAGCAGACTTGCACAGACTGTGAATGATTCCAGCATGGTGTTCACTACAAAGTCTACGTGGGCTTGGTTACTTCTTCATTGGTATGCTCTTTCATGGGCGTTGTGGACGTGTGCCCAACAGCCAACCGTGTACTCGTTATCCATTCATATGGATGTGCGTCATGGCGTATGTCGTATGATTCCAATATTGCTAGTGTGTTGCATGAGCTGGTTCCGACGATTTCAGGCAACTCTGCACAGGCGGTACGAGTGTGGCATTTCAATACACTTTGCTTTGATGGGTTCCTCGACAAGATTGAGTTCTCTGCACTCATGTGCCGGATCTGGAAATCTCCATTGGTACACGGCGGCCGTATTTCATTTTCCATTGTGGATGAGGTCTGGTAAATGACCTGTAGCATTGTTTGTTTCCTTTGGTGTGAGTGCAGATCTTGGGCAATTCAATGGCGGGGGCGTTTCACGGTTCAAGAAAACGCGCTGTTATGCAACGGCCTGCAGTCGTTCTTGTAGAGTTCTTTCCTGACCCTAGGATGAACCTAAGTCCGGGATGGTAAGAAACCCCGAGCCGCTAAGAAACCCGAGCCGCAGGCAAGAATCCCTAAGGGCTCGTTCTGAGAGTCTTCCTTTGTTTGCGCCTTGAGTGGTTCAAGGTGTCACTTCCGAGCGTGGACATAGAATATAGGAAAGGAGTGCAGTCGCCATTGCGCGCCGGGAGCATATCACCAGCCGCATTTGCTGCCTCACAGCTTCTTAGCTTTGCATCTTACTGCACGTGACGCTTGGTTTCTTTTTCAGCAAGCGTGAAAAGTCGGGAAGCGCGGCCCTTGAATATGCTGTCGTCACTATATTTTCTTAACAGCTAAAAGTACAAAAATACAAGTTGGAGGACTGTGCGACTACGGGGAGGAGAAACTCGACTTGTCATATTTTGTAGCATAAGAAAAGAAGCGCAGGAAAGTGGGTTGTAAACTCCGCGCAGTGGATCTGGGAAGGTTGCGGAAAACTGCAAGACCATCAAGGCTACGATCAAACTGCAAGACTGTGCAAGACTTTGCGAATAAGACAAAGTAGAAAACATGGCCCGCGGAATTCATAGGTTTGTTGCTTCTAATGCTCCCTAAGTATTTGGAACGTGTAGAAACACGGCCCTCGAGCTTCGAAGTTGTAATTTTCATAGGCACTTGCGCGCCAAACGCGTTCGCGTGAGAAATTATACGCCCTTTTCCCCCTTATCCCTTAACTCGCCCCATGTGTGCGTTTCTGGATGTTCGCTTGAGGTTGCTATCTTGGCAACTCCTGGGTGGCGCATGTCATTGCCTAGCTTTTATTCACCTGCCTCTCAAGTATGTAAAGGAATTTGAGGTTGTTTGTGGGCTGATTGTGTATGTGTCCCACTCCATGCAGATTGCCTCTGAAGCTGTTGGATTTGGTGCTCCAGGTGGTTGCTGCCTTGCTGCGCTCAAAGTTTTTTGACGGATTCTTGGCCGCAGTGAGCACGGGAGTGTCTGCTGAGCATGTTGTTTGCACCATGTCGAGAGAGGTGGCTTCACAGGTGGATTGTTTGAAGTGCTGGCAGCCGAGCTGAGACGGGCGTGAGCTACTAAGCGCACCACAGGCCTAGGCGTGCTACACAGAAGCGCAGTGAAGCCTGTGAGTGCGGGTTGCGCTGCGGTAGTGAAGCAGACGGCGATCAGCCTATTGCTGAGGTTCCTTCGCAGATCGCTGGGCAGCAGTCTTACTTGTCAGTTGCAATGTTCTGCTGGCGCTGAGGTGCTGACCTTGAACCGCTGCGCCCATGTTGTCTCGCTTGGTGTACTGTGTTTAGCTCGTGTGCGTTCTTCCAACACAGGGAAGGACACGCTACGCACCATCAGAAACGCAACACGCGCGCCCGTTTACGCACGACGTGTATTGTTCCAAAAGCACGGATGTGTTGTAGCAAGCAAGCATCATGAGCCGAAGCGCCCTACCCAGGCCTAGATGAGATTATTACAACAATTGCAGCGCTTGCAGACCTCAATGCCTACAATCAAGGAGTGTTTGAGGCGCGGGCGGCTGCCAGTAGGTGGTGTGGCAGGCCATGTCGGGGGTAAGCGTGAAGCCCAACTTTCTGCCACATCTGGTTCAGCTCTGTTCTCCATGGGAGAACCTCCGTGCCTCCTTTGTGGTGGGAGGTTCGGGGTTCAGAAGTGGGTGTCTGCAAGATTTTGAAGCCATCTGCTTTGCCCCCAAACGGCTACGCAAAGCTTACGTCGCCTTGGCGTGGAGACGTCAAATAGAGAGGAGGTTTTGGCTGTCGAGGAGATCAGGAGGGACGCGAGGTTGGGGTCAAGTGGCGCGGCCTAATGCAAGCCAACAGAAGAGCGACGCAGGTTTCGTGTCTCAGACTTGAGGGCCAAGACGGTAAGTGAGGAGGCTCGCAGGGGCAGTAAATTCAGGCTGCGCATCTGGAAAAAGTTGAGCGAATCCTAAACGCTTTGGAGGTGGTTTTGGCATGGTTGGTGTTGGCTAGGATGAGTTTGCGGGTGACGCTGAGACACAATGACTGATTGTGAGTTTGATTCCGCTCGCTCCTGTCTTCAGAGGGCATCCAACACAGGTCCCAATGGTGCGAGGTGGCTTTGGGGTTTCAAAAAGAAGCGGTCCTTCTCACTGGCAGGGAGAGGATTGCGCCCTGGTATGTCGGGCATGACGCTGATCAGGGGGTCAACTTCGCGAGTGTGAAATCCTCTTGTTCAGCAAGTTGGACAACTTTGATATTCTCTCAAGACAGGACGCGGAGCTGGCTGCTAGGCTGGAGGGAAGAGGCTGGAGGCAGGGCAAGGACGACTACGGGAGGCATGGACATCTGTCAGCCCATGCCGCGGGGATTCCTGACCGACTTTTGTCAAGCGCTGACGGTGGGTCTCCTTGACGGGGTTGGGTTGAGAGCGGCGTGCGTCCCCGACGTGTGGTCCTATCTTGTTGAGCTACAGGAGTTGGCCCAATTCAGATGTGACTGCTTGTGGTTCCGGCCTTGTCAGGAGGTGTCTAGGTCCCCGGCCCCCTTCATGGAGAGCGTCGCGTCCGTGAGTGCCATGGGCGAAAGAACGTACCTGGGGCGTAGGCCGCCAAGTGCGAGGTTTGAACGCAGACAAAACTCTGCTGCGCAAACTGCTGCAACAACAGGTCCCCGCCCTTGAGCGTTTCCACACTCTACGAGCTTCGGGGACAGTGCGCTGACCACATCAATGTGCAGTATTAAGGGCGGTTCTCCGTGCAATTTGGTGGTGGTGCGAAAAAGTGCTCAATGCTTTTGTGTGTTCCCTTGTGCTCAAGCACTGGTCTTTTTTGGCAAGTTGTGGGCTCTGAGCCCTCAGATTTTGCTTTGACGGGCTTTCCCACTCCTTTCAATATCACACGAATTTCAACTCAGAAAATGATCGCTGATATTACAGGAAAGTTGTTGCAAAGGCTTTCTTTACCACCGGTGATCATCCTGCTGGCTTCCTGGATTTTTTTGGGCGCAGCCCCGCGCCGCGCGTGCACGGACACACAAGCGCGCGCAACGCACACACACACACAACAGACACACACACACGCACACAAGTTTGAACACAAACCAATGCCCACTACACACGCTTCCGGTATGGGTCGCGGTCACGGTCAAGCGAGATGTTCTGGGTGTGTTTTCCCGCCGCTTGACAGGACATAGTATTGATTCATTTGGGTTTAGCAAGTAGTTGTAAATTTGTGTTCAAAGAATGGCATGTTTGACCTAAGAACCTTGGCTGGCGCGCATCTGAGGCACGGCAACTGTGGAATTGGCAGCTTGCGGTGGCAAGCCGCTTCCGCGCTGCGCAGGCTCGTCATCTTCTCAACACGATCCAGGCCTTCGCCGCGGAGGCCTTCGACGCTGGAGGAGGTCATGATGGACGACGACTATGATGCCGCAGAGAGCGCCCTTTCCAACGCATGGGTCTTTTACACCTACCTTTCTTTCTGAGGATGCGGACGGCTTGACACCTACAAGGCTGCCGATGAAGACAGTGCGACGTTCGTTTTACGGTTCTTGGACAGTTCCTTTTGACTGGCGGCCGTGCCTTGGTGACATCTCTGACGTGTCAATGGATGACGCCGACACCCATCAGCACACGTTGCGATTGCTCTGCACAGATTCGTTGGGGAATTCAAACAATGATGCATGCGCCCATGTTGGCCTGATGCGGTTGAATGACATGACTTTGCCAACTGATCCACAATACTGCGATGGCGTGACATCACTTTGCTTTCGCGCAGGCAATGACTTCCAGAAATCGAAGCTGTTGTCTCGCAACCCTCAGGCGCCATGGTGCCAAAGCGCTCCCGCGTTCCATGAAATTTCCATAACCCCTTCCCAGTTTGGGACACATTCTAATCAACCGTTCGGTATGCCGTTAAAGTACGCCCGGCACGATGAAGAATTCGGGCTCCTCGACAAAGCCAAGAATGCGTAAAGTCCAGCTGCAATGCCTATTTTGTCGGCTAGGAACTTGTCTCATCGTCTTTGACGCCCCCGCCTGGCTGAGGTTCTCATGGCACGAGTGGTCACCATCTTTCATCGAGCAGAGCGGCGCGGCTTTGGCGTAGGACTGCCGCGTTGACGTCGGGAGCCGTTTTTGTTTGAATGCCCTAAGGATCATATCTAGCATCTTTTTACACATAGGACAAGCAAACTCAATAACTGCTGTCTGATTAATAACTTCTTCACTGTCTTTGTCTGTTGAAGAAGCACAAAACCCTGTCTTATTCTTTTTGTTTTCCCATCTATATTAACATTTACATGTTTATATCTGATATATTGAATTCCTAACTTAGTTAATTCTAACGAATAATAACAACATTTTCAATTTTGTTGTCAGTTATTACAACTTGTTCTACTTTCTCAACTTTATCTAGTGTCTCAATCATCGTGGGTAGTAACTGAGACTAGCAAGTAGTAATAAAACGAATAACTTGTTCTTTGCGCAAACCTGGCAGGATGACAATTTAGGCAATGGCGGCTGCGCCCCTGGCAGCGGCAACGGCGGGTTCCCGTGGCTAGTTGTGGAACTTTTAAGTACTGTTTTACGCCCCGTAACTGATGTTGCAAGTAACATAACTACAAATCCCCGTAACTACCAGTTACGGCACTTAGGATCTACGTATGTTGCTGGTTTTTAAACCTAGTTATGCTAGTTATGCTACTTGTGGAGAAGGTTGGTTTGTGGGTTGTTTCTGTGTAAGAGACTTTGAGGAACAATAACCTGGCGCTTCGAAGTTTGTATTGGCGTGTGTTTGTTTTGGGTCTGCCAAGTCGGCAATGGAAAACACATAGCCCAGTCCTAAACACACTTACATGGTTGCACTTGCCATGTGTTCCCACAGGTATGTATGACGTGGCCACACTACATGCGCACACACTGTCACACACTTAGGACATCAATCTTACAACGCTGACGAAAAACAACAAGATAATTGCAAATACAAATTCAAGTGATGTAAGCTTCACGTTCAAGACGAATTTAAGATGATGAAGTTTAAGATGAACTTTCATGAGCTTTATTACCTGAAACTAGAGACTACATTTAGATTAAAATACAGAAGTTTAAGATGAATTTAAGATGGTGTGCAGATGAGCTCGACATGATTTTCAGATAGATTTACGATGGGTTCAAGATGTGTCCGAGCTAGGTTGGGCATGAATTTAGATTGTGTTTGTTTGCGTGGTTTGGACTACAACCTGCCATGTTGATAATCAACAAGAATTTCAACATCATGCGCCTGTCAGCAGGATGTCATATCGGATTTGCTTCATCATGCCTGCCAGGATGATACCACATACCACTTTGAAAGTAAGGGTTTTACTGATGACACCTATGCGAAGAGATTGCTGGACACTTTACAGCTTAATAAGTTAGTGTGTTGAATCATAGACGCCCAACATGAAATCTTAAGACACCTAGCAGTCAACTCATCACAATGTTTTTTCATGCTAGTTATGCTACTTAGCCAATATGCCCATCAGTGTAGTTATGCTACTTACAATGGAGTCACGCTAGTTGTGCTACTTGTGAAATCACAATTTTACAAGTAGCACGAGTAACGTATAAGTGCAGTTGTAAGTAGCCTAAGTAACATAACTGGAAAAAGGACACCGTCGTGCGAAACGAACATCACCCTGAAGAATATTACAAGCTTGGCGGCATTCTCCTTTTTAGCCGAAGAGCCTGGGGAACTCTCGCATTTCCTTGGCAGCGTTGAGGAGGTCCTCGTCAAATTCAGGATGCTCCCGAACGAAAAAGGGCCAAGATGCGGAGCTCCCCACGGTACACACGCTCGTCGAGGACCACCTCGATCTTGTTCGTTTGCTCCACGGCGCCCGTACGTTTGCGAACAGCAGGACCAGGATTCGCAAGCCTCCTCGCTCTACCCGACTGCGGGTTTTCTGCGGCTCCCAAGACTCACCTGTTGTTGCCGCCAGCTCCCCAGGCTCTCCAGTTTGGCCGTGACTGATCATCGGCCAGCAGCCGGGCACCAATCATCGGCCTCTCCAATCATCCGTGGCAAGTTGCCCAGGCACGGCCGCAGGCAACAAAGAGGCAAACGACAGTGTAAGGCATGTCGAGCGTCACGCTTGCTTCATCTCGGGTGTATGACGGTTTTTGGAGTGACAGTTTAACCGAACGCGCAGGGCGCTTTGACTGAACAGTGCTGCTGAATTGTCATTGTTGCATGTTGAACAGTACAGTTGCGACTTGGATGGGCCCTGTGCAACTGAGCCAGCGTCAGCGACAAAGATCTGCATGGTTTCGAAGACTGGCTCGTGCCAATTTCTCACCAGTTTGGATCGTCGAAAAGTGACTCATGCGGCATCAATGCAACAGCAGTGACTGGTCGGCGACGGCGTACTTATCGTTTCCGCCGTGTCACGCTAAGCTGCCCGGCCATTCCGCGGGTGTGTTGTAACAGGCCCTCACTCATGCCGTGGCTTCTAAAACAACATTGGCACGGCCGTCCGCGCTCATTAAGAAGGGCGCGGCCGCTG